TTAAATAAATACAAAATATAATAATAATAATAATATACAATAAAGTTAAAGTTAAAGTAATATATAAATATGTGTATGTGTTTATTTATATAAATACACAATAATATGCAAAAACTATAAAATATAATAATATACAATATTTATTTATACTATATCATTGTTATATTTTACTTGGTAAATAAGTTTTGCAATTAAATGCAAAGTTTTAGAGTTTTTCTAATTAACAACATATATAATGTATATATATATAATATAATTATATTATCAAATTATTTTGTAAATATTTTTGCAATTAAACAAAGTTTTAGAATTTACTTTGTAGACTTTAAACTATGTATATATATATATATATATTATATATATTATATATACATGCATACATACAGTGCTTAACACATGTAAGGTTTGTGCCACAGCTGCCCTAAACTAAAAGTATTGGTGATTACCAAAGTAATGTTTTATGTTTCTGTAATGGTTAATCCACCAGTATGTGTAAGCTCTTTAGGGCCCTATTTTAACGATCTAAGCGCAAGGTCTAAAGCGCACGGCGCAATTGCGCTTAGTCTAAAAGGGTTGTTTCTATTCTCTTAATCAGTAATGGATGTGTTTTGGACGTAACGTGCCATAAACCAATCAGAGTCTCATCTCCCATTCCCTTTAAAAGCCAGTTGCACTTGCGCCATGGCGGATTCACTATTTACATGATGGAATTTCCAAGCGGAAAAACGGAGCGCTTCTCTAGTGAGGGAACGGATCTGCTCGTGTGCGTAATTCTGATACATACAAAGACTATCCATTATGACATGTAGTCATTTTTATATTTATGTACACAATAATAATCTTTTACGTTTTAATCCTTTAATTTTTCATTTTTAAAATTGTTTGTGTGCTGCTGCGCATCCCTGTGCATCCCTGTGTAATAAGCAAATTGTGCTCTTTAAATAGCAAAAAAAAATATTGCGCCAGACTTTAGACCAGGTTTTTGTTGGTCAAAGGCTGAGTCTATTTCAGTTGCCTCAAAATAGCAACGCGCCAGCAATGCGCCTGAACACACCTCATTTTCAGACCAGCACGCCCATGGGCGCAAATGCTTTTGCTATTTAAACAACGTGGTGCAGGACGTGAAAATGATAACGGCGTCGGGCTGAAACTAGCAAAAAACATGTGCATCACGCCTGGTGCCGCATTGCGCCGGGTGTATGATAGGGCCCTTAGTCACAGTAGTGTTTCTAATGCTAAAATATAATATAATAAAAATAAATATATTTCAAATTTATTGTTTTACAAGAAAGGCAGAAAAAAATAGTAGTTTGTTTATTTATTTATTTTTTATTCAGATGCCCAATTACAGTCAATAACAATAGAGACTGTGGAAAAGTAGGCTACATAAAAACAAAGCCAGCAAGAATACAAGCTGTTATCAAGGCTAAAAGAGGCCATACAAAATATTTTTGGTTTTTGGTTTTTATGTGTGAATAAACACTATTTAGTTGTTTCTGTTTGTTAGTTGCCTAATAAATGACAATAGAATTTTAGTTTTAAACAATTTTTTGACAGATTCCTAAAATATTTGTTTTCTCTTTATTATGACAGGTGGTCTAATACATTTCTTAAGCACATACAGTGACTAACAAATATATTACTGTATTTATTGACTGTAATAGGAAATCCAAATAAAAAAAATAATAAAGTGCTTAACAATTTTTCTGCATTTCATGTAAAACAGTAAATTAAAAAATGAATGGATAACAACAATAATTATATTTTAGTATTAGAAACGCTACTGTGACTAAAGAGCTTACACATACTGGTGGATTACCATTACAGAAACCTAAAAATGATTTTGGAAATAACCAATACTGCTAGTTTAGGGCAGCTGTGGCACAAACCTTATATTGGGTGGTGGTGGTCTAATACATTTGTTAAGCACTGTATATAAAAAAATAATTATATTATAATTATTTATAATATATAATATATTAGATTTTGTGTGTGTGTGTGTGTAATATTTTATTATTAATATACTTTATAAATAAACAATATTGGAAATGAACAAAAAGATTTATGATTTTGCAAATGTAACATTATGGCATAAAATGTTGCATATTGCATGTGCAGATCCAGGTAGCCCCGTGGCTTTGGTCTTCTTCATCATTGTCTTCATCTGCATCGTCGTGACTGTCTCCTTCATCTTGTACCAGAAAAACAAGCATCGCTTCCATTCGACAGTACGTTACCAGCGCAACTTTGATGACGCAGACAGTGCGAGTATGATCAATGATGCAGAATAACAGCTCTGCTGAATGAAGTCAAATGAAACGGTAGCCATAATGTGTCTTTTACTCTGAACACTCCTCTATGCCATCAACAGAAACACCTGCTTCAGTGGTTCAAACTAAGGGTATTTATTGTTTTTCACCCCGGACATCTTGACCGTTTGTGTAAAATTAAATAGGAGTGATATTATTTGAAGGCTTTTAATGTTTAAATTAAAATGTCTTAAATGTTTGTGTATATTTTAATGGGAGGACTGCAGGTACTTACCGTACTACAAAAATTTGACTGTGTTACTTTGGCTTCTCTTGATATTATGTTATCGGATCAGGGTTTTTCACTCCTCTTGAGCAGCACTGAATATTAACCTACGCATAGAGCTGGGAAGGTTTTAAGAATGTACGTTTTTGATATTTTTCCTCTTTTCCTTTTGAAGATGTGATTTTAACAGAGCGTGAAGCATCCCGAAACTGTATTTCATTTTAAATAATTTATTTTGGTGGTTTTTCCTTTTTTTTTTTCCTTATTTGATTTCTGAATGCCACTCTTTGAAATTTTAATAGATTTATTATTCCGCAGTCAATAGAACATTCCTTTCAAAGTTGCTGAAATGGTGCTTTTCCACAGTGTTTTATTTTCCTGTTTATGTATCATGTACTTCTCCTGGCATTATGGCATCGTTTGCCTTCATTACAGTAATATCCAACAGCTTACGGTAACATGCTAAACGCAGTGCACTGAGTGCTGTATAAGATGTTAATGATAAAATGATAGTGGGCACAGTCAGAGATGATATCTATGCACTCATATGCTTAATTCGCTCAAACTACTGAGATCTGATGCACTTTAATTAGCTGTTTGAATCTAGGCACAAATTACACAATTTTAGTTAAGGATTTAGTACATGCTTTGTAAATATTTTATTATATTTTTTTCTTGTTGCTGTTGATTGTTTGTTTTTATTTTTTATTTTTTTCAATCTTCACCAAAGATGCTTTGGGATTTGAAGGTAATATATTGCAAACCCAAAAATTTTCACTAAAGACAATGCTGCTTTTGAAAAAATGATTTTTTTTTCAGAATCTTTTGTTTTCCTTGTCTTTGATTTGATTACATATCAGCTTTCCTCTGTTTTGACAACAGCAGATGCTCAATAAAACAATGCATGTCTTCTAATACTATATGTCCTTGTTATATGTTGATGAATATTAATAGACATGTTTTTGGGTTGTAGTGTTAAATTATTTTATAGTTTTAGTTGATTAGTTGCAGTATTCATTAATGTGTTGATGCTGGTTTAGTACATATCCAGGCAGGCAAAAAGCATTATGTAATGCCCAAAAAATGCTAGTTAGTCATTCCTTTCCAATACTAAACATCCATGTGTTGTTTTGTTATTAACATAAAAGTCTTACCAAGTGGAAATATATACTTCCCTAGTGCTGTTTCCTGTGCATATTTTATTTTTATTTTTAATAATTTATTAAATACATTTTATACATTAAATATCCAATTTATGCATTGTTTTATTTATTTATTTTATATAGTTTTATTTATGAAATTAATTTATCCATGAAATGTATTTTCACTTTTATTTTTGTCCCCTGATTTTTCCTGTTCTTGCTCTACATCTGCAGGGCCTGGCTTGACAGACAGTATTGATTAGTTAATGACTTATACAGCAGTACTGTAACTACAGGGTGTCAATTACAGTCTCTCTCTCTCTCTGTTTTATCTCCTGTTAAAAATAGATGTTGGCACCTGTAGGTCAGGGGAGGGAGAGTAGATTAAAACCCTAAAAAGGGCTCCTAAGACGCCGACTTCAGCATCCTTTTGGAAGTCGCTTTTACTTGAAAAAAAAAATAAAAAAAAAATACTTGTCTTAAAATCAACCCAAGGCTTTTTAAAATATTTACAAACTGAGGCATCTTTCAAAATTGTGCCGAGGGCAAAAAGAGCACCAAAGCTCAAAGTTGTCATCGTTGTAGAAAATGTGTTTCTCTCTTTTGGAAGTTAGTGAGAACTTATACAAGGCTACGAATTCCCAATGCTGGTCCCTCTGAGGTTGTGGTTCCAGGTAAAATCCTATTTTACTCTATCTGTATGTCTCGAGAGTCATGAAATAAATGAAAAAGAAATAAATGAACATTTGCCCCGTTAAACTAAATCTGTTGTCTTGTCCTCTTTCAGTCGGTAAAATGGTCTGAAAATTGAGGAAAATGCTATATATAGTCTTAAGAGTGTCCTTACATGGGGTGGCTGAGTGAAGGCATTCCCTAAGTGACTGCATTATTTTTGTTCCATCAGCAGGAGCTTTCCAACTGCTCTCAGGCTGCTCTTCCAACACTCAAAGCGCTTCTTTTCTCTTGGGGTAAGTGCAGCTTTATTTTATTAATCTGTTAACAGATATGTATTGGGACACGTACGCTTCCCAAATGATCATATTGGGTGCATTTCACATATGTGACTCTGGACCACAAAACCAGTCATAAGGGTCAATTTTTCAAAATTGAGATTTATACATCATCTCAAAGCTGAATAAATAAGCTTTCCATTGATGTTGTTAGGATAGGACAATATTTGGCCGAGATACAACTATTTGAAAATCTGGAATCTGAGGGTGCAAAAAAATCAAAATATTGAGAAAATCGCCTTTAAAGTGGTCCAAATTAAGTTCTTAGCAATGCATATTACTAATCAAAAATTCAGTTTTAATGTATTTACAGTAGGACATTTACAAAATATCTTCATGGAACATGATCTTTACTTAATATCCTAATGATTTTTGGCATAAAAGAAAAATCAATAATTTTGACCCATACAATGTATTTTTGGCTATTGCTACAAATATACCCCAGCGACTTAAGACTGCTTTTGTGGTTCAGGGTCACATTTCAATTGAATATTGTCATAAGATATTATTGAACATTAAAAGACTCTGGTGCCTAGAGCTGAAGTGATTCTAGACTTTAGGTAATTAAAAATGTTTGTGTTAACTTTTGGCTTTTGATGTTTTAGTTCCAAAAATCAGTTTTCTATTGGGTTGTGTTCTACTTTTAAGTACTTTTCAGAGTTCGTTTAATGCTGAACTGCACAATTTTTTTTGTTTGTTTGTTAGTTTCTACATGAGACCTTATGTCACAGCAGCCTGTCACATTAGGTGTGGTTCAAAGGTCAAATCTAAGGGATTTTGCTCAGATTATTTTGCTCCCACTCGGATTTTTGTAGCACTGAGATGTTTGTGTCCATAAGTTGTGCCAGTTATTGTGAGGTCAGCTTTTCACTTTCTGCCTGTAATGCGATACACTTGAGCTCATGGAGCTGCTGATGGGCTGGAATGTGAGGAGAGGCAGTTTTGGTGCTAGTTTACAATAACCAGTAGCTAAAGTAAAAATGTACTCTAAAAACATAGCGCAGTAGTTATATTGATTTATTATGGGCAGGCAATATTCAGTTTTGGTCTTTATCTAGGAGTGTATGTATGTTTATAAGGTGATTTATTGTATTATGTAGGTCATTTGAATTATCAAACCATTTTATACTTATTTGTGTATTACATTATGCTAACCAATAGTAACACTAGATGTGCCATATTCATAACTAACATTCTTAGTTGTATATTTTGTCCCATATAAACCATTTTAGAGGTGATCTAGATTGCACAATGAGTATTGGTGTGGTCAAAAGGTCTTTTTCAGAGTGTTCCCGACATGCCTGCGAGAGGCATTACACTTTATCGGCAGGAGCAAACGCAACATCAAAGCTCAAAACATGTTGTCCAACACTCAAGGTATGGGATGTGGTTGTGGCCGAGCATATGGATAGCCTTGGCGTGAGTTTGGCTCAGAGGCTTCAGCGGGCCAGAAGATCTGTCCCTAAACGCACAGCAGCGATCGCTTACACTAATACCCCTCTCTTTGTTGCTTCATAAGGGACCCAAAGGTCAAGTGACTTGATGGGAGACTCTGACTTTAAGATGTGTAAGCAAAGCTAGTGTGCGCTGTAAACAGACTCCGCATTATGTCATACATCAGTAGTGAGGAAGGAGAAAAGATTGCTTTGCATACAGTAGGAAAATATGAAGCATGGCGCATGGAAGCTTTTCGGCTGTCAAGAAAGAAGGTGGTTTGTATTGACATTTTGGGTGAAGAGTCAGATTTGCTTCAATGCTGGGTCTGTTGCGTTTAGGTTAACAAGCATGAATAAATCCGCTTTTACCAAACCTTACTATACATTACAGAACTGATTCTGTTGCTCTAATTAACTTGGCCCTCAAAAATCAATGTTAGAGATTTTGCAGTAAACAGGAGAATCCGGATCCAGACAGTACTTAGAAGTATTAAAAAAACGGATTCATGGCCATTTATTCACCATTGTAATCAAAATTTTGTGATCATAATTTCTTTAGTGTTGAAGACACAATCAAAGCCATTGGTCATTTTATTTTCAGGTTTTCTAAAGCTTTGCTGGCGCTGTTGACTGAAACAAGCTGCATTTATTTAGCATCTGTTCATTTACCTCTACATTTATGGATTTAGCAGACGCTTTTATCCAAAGCGACTTACAAAGGAGGACGAACAAAGAACTTACAGTGGTGTGAAAAAGTGTTGGCCCCCTTCCTGATTTCTTATTTTTT